ACCGGAAACGGGCTGTTTCCGGTGTGCCCGCTCGTCAACAGCACAGTGACGGCAAGGGAACATTGCTACTTTACTCACCCTCATCCCACGGCGCAAAACGAAAAATCTCGACCGGGTTCCCGTTTGACGAACATCGCTCCATCACGGTACGCAAGATGGCTCCCCCCCCCGATTACCAGCTGCACGCGCCCTTAGTACCCCTAATATTGAGTAACCCATATGTAAATCAAAACTCCCGGTGCTGCATTCGTTCGCCAAGTTAGACGCAAAAATTTAAGAAATATATGAGGAGGAATACGCAAGAGCCGTCAAAGGAGCAAAAGCTCTCTAACGCAATATAGATGCCGTTGATCAAGTAAGAAAGTAACGGAAGATCCTTGGCAAGACGTTTACTCCAGGCTGCACACCCAGGAACGTCATTAACGGTTTTCATTTTACTTATTCAAGCACGAAATGGTTCGCCAGGTCGTCCCATTAAAGGATACCGAAACCGACTCATACTTCACAATGAGTTTACAGGAGGACCGTAAGGTCCAATTAAGCTCTCATGTTTTTTTATGGACTCGTCTGTTAGTTTTGCTTTTAAAACTCAGGAGTGAATTAAGATACATGGTGTGTCTGAATAAAAATAAAAAGGAGCACTTATGAAAGCAATATTAATATGGCGAATGCACAACCAACCGGGACCTCTCGTAATGGTTTTGTTTCTAGCTCGGAATTAATTAAAACGGCTTTGCATTTCACGCTTATGTTGAGCCTGCTTCAAAAGGGCGGACCGCTTTTCGACCAGGTAAAAATATGCCTGAATAAACGGAACGAGCAAACGTTCACGCTGCTTTCGAAGGTTCTATTTAAGTATCTGCTAAAGTCAACGTGGCCTGTTTGTAAGCACAAACCCCTTTTGTAAGTCTTTAATCCAATGCCTCCTTCCGGCGTCCTAACATTGTTTATTCATGAAGCGAGTTACGATTGTATTGCTGAAGGTGGGGCAAATACAACTTGTTCAATGATCTGATCGACTTTTTTTACATGTTTACGCCACGGTAGAAAGGAAAAAATTATCACAACTTCCAAAAGGATGTTATATAAAAAAAATGCGATGGATACACATTTTGCCTTTAAGTTTTGGGTTTTTGTATTTAGTTTTCTTAAGCACAAATAATTCGAAACTTTTTTGCCAATGCATTAGAGGTGGTAAATGTTTATTTGCTTGGTTATAAGGAGTAGTACACTACTCAGTGTGCTCGCACTTGAACCATGAAACGGTCACGATATCTGGAACGTTTGATTAGCATGACCGACAGTTGTTATTGCAGGTTTTCGCAATTAACCCCAAGAAAACGAATTCGCATAACAGGATAGACTTTCAGAAAAAAATACAGTGTCACCACCAGCAAGTTTCTTTTTCGCCTCACAATTTGTGTTCGTGCTCGGTATTAGTTACACATGGAAGCTCCGTTGTAGCACTCGCAGCACTGAACACCCCACCTCACCCCACATCCGTACTAGTGCCACCGCGGAAACATTAGAGCCAGCTGCGAAGGCTCGTTCTCTCTTATGTCGACAACAGCCAAGCTCGCATTTTCTATCAGGCCCGAAAAGCAGAGAAGCCTCGCACCACCACCAAACGTATCGCGTCATTAACAAGGTGAGCGCAGACGTGGCGAATGTGCTTGCTTGTACAATGAGGTGTCAGCGCGATGCGCACCAAACATTTAAAAGCTAGCCACGTTCCCACTTTTGCCGTAGCTCGCTTCAGAAGCATTTGGCGTGTTCAGAGCACCTCGTTGACGCATCCTATCCTGGGGTGGCCACGCTCCTTCGAGCAATGTTTAATACCCGCCGCACATTGTTCATTGAAGCCTTGCCTCCGGTAAATCAAATTTCCCGCTTTTCGCTTTTTGGTTTCATTATGGCGTTATGAATTTCCTGGAAAACGTTGGTTGAGGAGCGGGGTTGGTTGAGAATTCTAGAGTGCGGGGGCTTTCTAAGGTAATTTTACGAGCTTAGATGAGAAGGGGAGAGATCATTTTTAAAGTTTTGCTGCGATGAGTGTAGAAATGTTCTGCTTGAACGCGAGGCTTACGTTTCCCGCGAGAATGTAATGTAGATGTGTAAAAACTCGCGGAAATTAACGGCCGTTGTTTCTGTTATGTCTGAAGTAGAATGCTGAAGGAAATAGAAAAAAATATGCCAAATCCTTAGCAGTTTCATGCATGCTATACCCTCGTTCGATAGGGCATAACTGGAATCGGCGAAAACGGCTGTCTCCACCGCTACAACAATAACAACTCCCCCTTTCAAAAGGCAATAAAGTTAACTTTGTGCCTCTTTTCAATGCATTGTCTACTCTAATAACGGGAAAAATCATCGTTGCGTAAAATTATATACGAAACTCAAGCCAGCGAGCAACGACCCCCAGGGCTGCATCAACAGACGACAAAATCTGCCTTCCAACGCGAAAACACGCAGACGCGACATTTTTGCAATGACACCCTAACAGCGCTAAAGAGGATGCCGTGCTTCATAGATGAGGGTCGTGGTACTCACGCCCCCCCCCCCCCCCCCCCCTTCCCTTAGTCAAAAAAATAAAAGATGGCTTTTGTGCGAAAAGAGAGGTGAAAAGAAAGGGGCTGCGATATGGTGCAGAATAGAACACCTGGGGAAACGCAGCAGGGTTTAATAGGAACAGAGGCAAGAAAGTGTATACGTTCGAGAGTGGTATAGGTGGCGTGCGTATCGTTGCTTCTTGCTTGCATCAAGGGCTGAGCAGAGCGACAGCTGGCAAGGTAGGGATCTTTCGCGGCGGCGTCACGAAGACAGCTGCCTTGAATTGCGTCCGACGTGCCTCACACTTTGCGACGTGTAAGGACCAGGAACCGGGTGGACGTGCCTCAGGCTGCTTGCGCACGACGAGTTTGTATGCGAGTCTGTATCGAGATTCGCGCAGACGCTGGCTGTGCGGTGTCACACACCTACCGGGTTCCTTGCATCCGTCGCGCTTTTGCATTGTTCCTTTTCTTTTGGTGAGTTTGATGCTCATTTTTATTTCTACCGTCCTTGCGTTCTTCCTTACGGGTTTACGCTTTATTTATTTCTTGACATTTCTTTTTACCTTTTTAAATTTGTTTGTATTTTGTTAATAGTCGGGTAAACCACTGAATCAACTAGCTCAGCTTCAAGCCATCATGATCCACTGTCCCAGACTCTTGATGTCAGAAACACATTTTATTTTTATTGCTTTTAAAATATTCTAACCGTGAAATGAAAAAAAAAAATATATATATATATCGAAGGTAAGAAAATAGACAGAAAGAAAGCTAAGAAAACAAAACTAAACGTTACGACCTCTCAGTAACATGCGCTATTCCCTAAATCAAGATGTAGAAGGTTGGTTTCTTATAGTATTTGATTTCCTGCTAGATTTTTCGCCTCGCTCTTTTGTGTACAGGAAAACGTCTATTACTGCGTTGGCCGGAAAAAAATAGAGTCGATCGACTTAAAGCAATGCCATGTTGGAAATCCACGTTCAGATTACTTGGAGCAAGATATGAAGCCGGGAATGGTATGTATGTGGGAATGTTGCGGCATTTTCAGGAACCTTGCAGAGCAGTTGTAATCAAAAAAGAAAAACAAAAGACATACATTAAACAGAAGAAAAGCGTTTCTCGTTGCGACTTTTGCTTTTTTTCATCGAGGATTTAATAAGACGTCCTTCTTGAAGGCTTAAAATATGAAGTTTACCAGTTTATTTTGTGTACACATTATCCATCGTTCTTATCGACACGCTTCCGTTTACACAAAAATACAAAAATCTTAATCTGTTTTTCCGTAACAACATTAATTGAAGGAAAAGTCAATGTTGAGAACCTGCACGTCCAAAATTCTCGACGGTTTCTTGTATTCTTTTTTTCTCCATCCGCCATTTACATTATTGCGGTTGCTCCATTCAAGATTTCGCCATACTTAAGGTGACATAAAACTGAATAAGTAGAATCATAGAAGTCCATCCGCTTTCTTGACATAACATGGCCGACAGATTGCGTTCAGAAAATGTGAATCTTTCAAAGATATGTTTTATTTTTGTTAGACATTCTCCCTAAATACACTCACACATGTGAAAAACGGTGAGGCAATACACAATCAAGTATGTCAAGGAACAAAGTATAAAAAAACTTTTACAATATATGTTAAAAATAAGGCCAAGAGGAGGGTATTTTATCATTCAAACAGAAGATTGACTAACTTACCGGCCCCATCAAAAACAAAACGCAGTCCTTACAAGAAACTTCACCTTCAAAAAAAAATATATCGTTTTGTTTTAATATAGTTAAATATACATTTATCAAGAACTCTAAAACCCACGTTTCCTACCAATCGTGGTTAAGACACACCAGCAAATGACCAAGGCACGGCTGCCGTGGGAACTGGGCTTAGTGTGTCTGAGTTGTTCCCCGAGTTGGCCTTCTTCAGCTGACGTCACAGCACTAGGCCTTCGCTGTCTAGGCTGTGTTGGGGTGCTCCGGCGCCGCTTATCTTCTAGTCAAGGAAAGATGAAGTGGATAGAAGTAGTTACCCTCGATTGGAGACCTAGGATAGATTAGGGCCCTGAACTCCGTCGTGATGGCTTTTTCTGAAACATTGGCTTTGTAGTTCGTCATTGTCGTCGTTTTGGCATCGACCGGCCACTCAAGTGGCTTAGCGGGAACTCAACTCGCACGCATTCCTGTTTCCACTTACATTAACTTGATTAATGTTCAATATATTCCAGAAGAGAGGAGGTGATGCAGGGAATAATGCTTGCAAGTTGTTTTGCAATGAAGCAGAAACGAGCATGCACAACGCTCTGCATACGACTGAAATTTTATTTTAATCATTGTTTATCTTTATGTGTTGGATTAAAACTTGGTGAATCCAGTAGTTATCGAAATCGGCACATGTGCTCGGAAACGACGACTGTTTCCCCGGGAACGCGAATCGTCCCGGCGCCTCGTGACCATCTGGGCCCGTTTGCTCGAAGAGCTAACCGCGGTTAGCGTTGGCCAAAGTCCCTAGTAGGTACCGAAAGTACCTAGTTGTACCTACGTTGTACCTACTACGAAACTTTAATGGCTGGACATAAAACAAATCCGTCCTTTATTATTGGGCTGGAGCCTGCGCCACCTTGTGCTGAAAAAAATAAATCGTTATTTTTTTATGATACAACGTTTGCTTTATGGGAACCGTTTTCGGCTAAATCTAGTTGTAACTTGCAAGAAACGTTTGCTCAATTGAAAAGAAAAAGGATAGTTTCTTTTTTGCATCGAAATTCTTTCTTTCGAAGTGTGGAAGCGTAGACAAGACACCTAGTCAAAGTGCTTTGCAGTTTTCTGTTGTCGTGTTTTGCAAAAAGCAAGTGCGTCGACCGTCGCTTCCAAGTCTGGCAACGCCGTGTGTGCCGTGTCGCGTGCACGGCGTTTGTTTATACAACCAGTTTCGCCTCGTTGCACGCAACGCGCGTTTCTCGTTTTCGGTTATCATCTGAGTTTTCCTGTCTGTATTCTGCCCTTCGACCGACCGACCCACCGACAAACCCTCCGACCGGCCACGGACTGACTGATAAGATTTGCGGACCGATTTCCGACTTTGCTACCGGGCAGAATGTCCAACGCAAGGAATCGCCGACACAGAAGAGACCGCACGGACGCGCAGTACGCAGCGGCAATGATGAGGCGACAGCGTGTGCTGCGGGACCGCCTGAACCCCTTTGAGGATTTCGACGAGGATGGGCTGCAGCAACGGTTCCGATTTGGAAGAGCGGGCATAATGTTTCTCGCCGACACACTGCGTCCGGACTTGGAGCGCCGTACACGTCGTAGCCGCGCCCTCTCTGCGGAGCAGCAAGTGATCATCGCCTTGCAGTTCTACGCAACTGGGAACTTTCTGATCACTGCAGGCGACTACATCCGCGTTCATGTGTCAAGTGCTTCACGGGCTGTGAGGCAAGTCACCGTAGCGCTGGCTCGTCGAGCACAAGACTTCATACGGTAAGGGTCCTTTTTTTTTCCTTTTAATTGTAGTTTGCCAGCCGTATTGAAGTAAAGTAAATACACTAAAAATATATCTGAATTGCTGGTGATAGGGATGTTTTGTAGGTTGCCTTTTTATGGCAGTAATATTCTACCTACTAGTAACTAGCCCTCCCTCCCCCCCTTTTCAATAGAAAAAAAAATGATTACGGCCGTAAGCGTCCTACTTGCCCGATTGGAAAGGGCCCGGGCACGCCATTTTTCTGAGAAACCTCAGAAAGCGACCCGTTTGCACTTTTGGTAAGGACTTGCACCGAATCACAGTCACTTTATAGGTCTTGGTAACTGAACAAAAATAAAAAGGGATCCTATGAAAACATGCAAACTTCACTATTGAACAGGTGCTACTGAGGCACTTTACTGCTACCACAAACTTGAAGGGCACAGCCAAAGTCCTTAGCATTCCTCATTAAAAAGGTATTCATAAGCATTGTAGCTGTAAGTTTACTATATGTGGTTTAATTGCTGAGGGGATCAACGACGCAGATGGCCTGACGCTGCGGAGGGGGCAGCCTTGCAGCACAAGTTCTACGACATGGCCGGCTTTCCTTTGGTCGTGGGTGCTGTTGACGGTACCCATGTCCGGATCCAGGCACCCCATGTGCACGAGGAGGCGTACGTCAACCGCCATGGATACCATTCCATCAACGTACAGGTGGTCGTTGACGCCTCTTCTCGGATTCGCAACGTGGTTGCAAGGTGGCCTGGAAGCACCCACGACTCTCGGATCTTCACGGAGAGCACCTTGGCAGTCAAGCTGGCCAGTGGAGAGTACGACGGCCTGCTGCTTGGTGACAGCGGCTACTCCTGTCAACCTTGGCTGATGACGCCATTCCTGTCGCCGTCATCAGCAGCCGAGGTCGCATACAATACGGCACACACGACGACAAGAAGCATTGTTGAACGGTAAATCTAGGCCATATATTGTGAAGGGCACAGAGATATTCATGCAAGACATTTCGAGACGACTAGCTGTCTTGACGTAATATGTGCAACACGTGCATGCTCCTTACGTCTGTTGCTATTCTTTATGGCATAAAAATATTCATACAAATTTTTATATTAATCTAACGAAGCATAAGATACCGTGGTTTTATGTAAGCAAGATGAAAGTAGTATCCTGAGATTACGAATCAATACAACTTATAATAGCTGCCTAGGGTTCTGCGGTTTCAGTTTTTACTTTTCTGGAATCGGCATACTTTTTTCGGTTGTTATTGTGAGTATGAAATTTTCAGTTTTTATCGATGAATATTTTTAGTCGAAAGCTTACTGCCTTTTTCCGGTCGATATCTATTGACCAGTTACGTTTTTTTTCAAGCAGGTTTGTCGAGAATGCAGTAGATTAGGTTCATATCTGAGTTATTCGTCAAGCGGCAACACTTGCGGACATGGCAAACGTAACCTTGGTTATACATGTGCTGTGACGACAAATTCTTAATCGCAAAATTTGCAAACGTAATTCTTGGCACGCTTCTTTGTTCTTCACATGTGGAGGACTATTAAAGCTGCTTTCCTCTAACCAGATAGCACCTTGAGAGAGGCTGTTTAAACAGCTTTGGTTTTTTTCTTATGCTCCCTACAATAGGAACAGAATGACATTCCATTCCTCCCAGAATAAAAGTAAGACCAAATGGCTTGACAAACAATGAAAACGCTCCAAATCCGCCCTCTAGACGACCACAGCAAACTTGATGGACAAAGGAACGCAAATTGCATCGATGACAAACCCAAATACTTCCTAAAGTGTGCTTCCAACAGAATAGTTTGAAAGCACGGAGATAAGATAGTTGACTACTCGGTCACATGCTTCTATACTCTGTTTACTCGGTCACATGCACCTGTAATGGTCTAAAGTACTGACCATTTAGGTTTAAAATCAAACTTTCGAAACTTACCTCACCACACTTTATTGGGTTTTATCGCTTGAGACTGAAAATGCAGAAACTCAGTTATGTCTTAGGTCCCCAGGACTGGCAATAATGGGGAAAAGCACTAAACTCACCTCAGGTGCCAGTGCTACGCAAGACCCGGACAGAAGTTGATATTTTGTTAATTGGACAAAAAGAAGCATTAATGACAATGGAATTTTTTTCCTAGACACAGCAGTGGAAGTAACACTGTGCCTTGGCACTTTCATATGTCTACTTTTTGAAATGTCAGTTTCGGGCTGTTTAATGAAAACTAACTAAACGTGCTAGATATGTATGTACTCATATTGAGTGCACAAGTACAGCTAAGCTCGTGCGTGCTAAGATGCGTGTGATCCAAAACTAGCGGCACATCGGTGTAAGTCGCAAACAATTGTGTGTTGCTGACCGTCTTGACCGATTCGCCAAGAGTACATGCCTAGCATGACCTATTCTGCTCTCATCGATGGATTTAAGAGTAGTGCCAAGGCATCATTTTGGACAATGTTGAAGTTGAGCATGCAATAACAAGTTTCCACAAATAGTCTCTAGACACCATCTTACACGTCATTCACGACTGATGATGAGTCGCTGCAATCTCAAATGTTCAGGCAAATCTTGCTTGGGATTCCGTTGTGAAAGCGCCATAAGACCCTCTACCAAAACTTTGGCTGCATGCGTCCAGGAGCTTCCACTTGAGTCAGAAATGGCGGTGCGTGGACCACTAACTAATAGGAACACTAGCGGCACAATCAAAGGGTAGGAGTACTTGGATAAGGCGTTATATCAAGTGCTTTACGTTTTACATCTCCCAGACTTACAAGACGGATTCTTATTGATCAATGACAAAAGTAGATGGGTTGCGCTACCACGAACATCTATTCCTGGAGAGTGGAAGGGAAAAGGCTCAACAAGACAAGAGTCTGGCTCTCTTTCTCTTTTCACTCTGTCTCACAAGTAACATGTAGAATGAAATTTTGATGGTACTGTATTTGTTGCAGTATAAAGCTTGGTTACAAGTTAATTCTTACAGCGTTGGCAGCAATCAGGTAGCAAAAAATTCTAACATATTGGCCTGTGCATATGCAGGTGTTTGGTTGGAAGCATATCCACGAAACCCTTTGAGGATAGCGCTTGAATAAAGCTGCACTTTGCTTGTTGCTTTCTATAAAATACATTGCACAGGCTAACCTCAGGTGACCCCGGATGTGAACGCAGTGTAAAAATAATTCGGAAGGAAAATAAAATGGTATGCATAATGCCCAGCTTTCGATATCCTGGAGCAATGGGCTGGAGCTTGGGCTGGAAAAATTAGGAGGTGTGATATCGGGCACGGCAGCCAATTTGCGATTCGAATTCAGCTGTAAATTTGTCCTTGTTGCGTGTCATCCTCTTGAGTATTTGCGTTCCACGCTGTTGTCCGATTTTGGTATTGGGTTTCTGGGAAGGAATAACATGTGGTTTTGATCCATGCGCTCTGTACAGGACAATCGGCCAACTCAAGCGGAGGTTCCATTGCCTTCACGCTGAGCTCCGAATGGCTCCAGAACGGTGCTGCGACATCATTGTCGCGTGCTGTGCCCTCCACAACCTGGCCAAGAGGTACCCCTGCAGGACACCCGTGGCCGCCATCCCCGCTGAGGTTCCCGTTGAGCCCGTAGCAGCCAACCGTGCTGAGAGCAACGAGGCCCGAGACTTTATTGTCAACCATTTCTTCGGCTAAGTGTAAGTGTCTGGATAGGTATCTTCTGGCTGTCCATTTCTAATGCAAGATGCTTTGTTATGATCGTGGCTATTGCTTTCACCTTTTGTTTAGCAGGCTTTGCAGATAATTATAAGAAAATTATGTCAGACAGTTGTCTAACTAGATCAAATAATTGCTTGAAATAATATTTATTGTTTTGCTACTTAAACATCAATTGTATTTTTGGAAACTGCAACAGTTAGGGGCTCAACCGTGCTGCACAGTTAGCAAGAAGCCAACAGCTTTGAGATATTAATTTTATTTTAAGCTTTTTTTGTATGATCTAACTGGATGTAAGATTATCATAAGTTCTACCCAAAATAACCCATAAAGGAGTGTGACACATGTGACAATGCTGAAAGTGTGTTATCAACATGACAATGACATTCCAGCAATGCATATATCACTCTTGCACAGATCAATTCGGGTAGTGCTTGCAGATATCCCACATAGAGTTTCGAAATTTGGATGATAGAAATGTAAAGAATGATTGATGGACATCCCCTTATACCTGTTGCTTCCATAGCAGTATGTGTAAATTGCAGCATGAGCGACGAAATAAGTAATGAAAAAAAATTTTCTTACTTCCCGCATTATTGTTACAAAGCTCGAAATGTGTCATTTGAGGCACTTATAATTAGCTCGTTGGAAAGAGTGTGCTCGAAAAAAATCCCTGCCGAAGCTATTGGTCAAACGGGAGTGCAGTGCAATGTCCAACACTCCTGCAATCGCACGCTGCAGCTCAACTGCTTGTTACTGCTTTGGTCTCCTCCCCATCAACTCCTGCACTCTCGCAGAGCTACAAGCATAGGCACACACGGGCTCTCTTAAACTAATAGATTTTGAATTTGATTTCCGGAGTTCATAACAATGCACTTTTCAAACTTCTAACTAATGACACGAGGGATGCTTCTTCAAATTTGTGCACTTCTTCGCACTCTCTGGAGCTCTCTTTTTATACTGTCATTATTTTTTGTAATACATTTCCCACACCGACAGATGCTTTATGGGAAGTGCTGAAGTCAGCCCTATAACAGACTATGTGTGCACAGTTTATAATGAGGCAACTGAAGAAGACAGTTATTTTCCCATTCAATATCTACAAACCGATACTATTTAATGGGTACAGGAGCATGAATAGGAGAGTATAGTGAAACAATGTTCATTTGATACCAATTTCAAAGCTATCAGTACAAATTATATATACTACCCCATAGAATGTTCATTTTTCACTGCATACTCATGGTTACTAGCTCATAGGATTTACATAGTGTACGCTTCTGAGTGTTGAGTCATAACACCTTTCACAGGTTTTTCCAACCTGCAAAGCTTTTCTCTTATTTTTCACAAACCTCCTAGGGTTAGTTCATATTTTCTTCATCCTGGCTGGCATGATAACATCATTTGCAAAACATTTATTTTTAGTAGGGCATTGTCCAGAGAGGAGCTTTATTGTACATACTACACTCTCATTAATTCAAACTCCAGAAAGTCACATATTTTAGTTGGATATATATGATACTAGAGAACATTATGATTTGTTACATGGATAGCGATATATACAAAGCAGATTTTGGCCAGTTTCCTCTACATAGCACAATAGCTTGCTTATAGTTAATGCATAACTATAAGCAAGTACAGGCATAACACATTTGTGAAAGAACTGTGACTAAGTTTATTCATCCGGCAAAAAAGTCGTCAATTGTGGACTGTTTAGTCAGCACATGAGATCTCAAAACAAAATTTCCAATGCCAGCCACCGCAAGCAGCTCTTTACGGGACTTTTCCTTTGCAGACAGAAACTTCCGGAGCTGAGCGATGTGCTCAAAGGCCTCTGCGGCTGTGACAGTTCGTAGTGGGTCATCCATTTCTTCATCGTCATCTTCACTGTCACTGCTGCACTGTGCTGGCATTACTTTCCGTACTATGTCCTCTAATGAGTCATCATGACAAACACACACATCGTCGTCAAGACTAATATAGTTCGCCTGCACGGCGTTCACATTACGTGTTTCAAGGCCAGAAATCATGATGCCAGTGAGTTGTGCCTCGTCCTCGTCGTCTTGGTCATCATTGCTAGTCTTGAAGCACATAATTTGAACGCCGTTTTCCGTTCATGTGTGCCGTTTTCGCTAATTCATAGTTTTTTGTTCTCGCGGCCCCGTTGACTGCGCTTCTTTCCGAGCACTGGTGCACTGCGGAGAAGCAACACTCGCAAAAGCAAGCTCCGCAGGTATTGCTTCTCTGCGGTGCACCGGTGCTCGGAAAGAAGCGCACTCAACAGGGCCGCGAGAGCAAAAAACTATGAATTAAGCGAAAACGCCATTCGAATTAAGTGGCTTATAAATACGTAAAAAAGCTTAGCGGGACAACCAAAATTTTTAAACCTGTTTGAATTAACTGGAAGTACGAAATATCCGAGTTCGAATTATCGCGAGCCTACGTACAAGCAGCAAGTAGATTTCAGCTCCAAAAAACTGTTGTGTTGGATAACAGTGTATTTTTTTCTCGGTTGTATATCTATTCCGTGCGGACAAGTGATCACTTTGTGTTTTTATGTATGTGTGTTATTTCCCACCCCTCCTACAATAATGCCCTCGAGGCGATGAAGGTACTCTTTAAATAAAATAAATAAATAAATAAATAAATAAATAAATACTTAAAGAACAAGGTAAGTGGTGACGATTCAAAGTAATAAGAGTTGAAGACCCGGGGCCCCAAAAGGTGACACACGCAACAAAATGATGTAGTGTTGTGTTTGATCCCTTTTTCTGTTCCTGAGTTTCGGGATATTCTTAGTATGAACTTTTTCGTACATAAGCAGCACACAGTCCATAGGTCGCAGGAGCATATCCAGGCAGAAAAAGCCTTTATCTTAAAAGCAGAAGGAATATTTGCAGATGCAAGTCAGAAAGTGTCTGTGGTCCACTCATCGATGACTCGAACATTTTCTTAAAACACAGAAACTCGACCTTGGTCTTCTGCCGGGAGGCTAATCGTCTTGGCGACCTCCTCTCTTGAGCTGTGACGGGGAGCCGCGTTATGAAAGGGAAACATGTGAAGGGATATAGGAAAGAAGGAATTATACATCTGCCTTTGAGCTTAACCCATATTTTTATTTTAGGTATCCATGTAAATTATGTGCCACCTTTGGGGCGTCGAAAGCCTGGGTGCCATACTGCCAGTATGATATTCTGTTGCTTACTTAACCACAGCGTAAAATATTGCGATCAGAACAACCACGCTGGTCTAGTGTAGGGATAGTCAACGACATGGAAAAGATTGTGTGCAAGCTTCCCTTGTAGATAGCATGCATAAAATAAATGAAGTGTCAAACATACCATGTTTGCACGATTCTAACGTGGCCCCGATACTTACATGCAGGCAATTTTAGCTCCCAGATATCGAAAAATTTAATTGCTGCCGATTCTACCGCGCAGGTAAAGTAATGCACTTTGAACACCCATAAGTGCAGCTCTTAGGCACTCGTTTCCGGCTTGAGCGGCGTCGCCGTCGCCGTCGTCGTAACCGCCGGTGCATGATGGGTAAATTTCTCTGCTAAATCTAGCGGAAAAATTTCTCCGCTAAATCTAGTGAAAAAATTTCCCCGCTAAATCTAGCGGAAAAATTTCCCCGCTAAATCTAGCGGAAAAAATTCCCCGCTAAATCTAGCGGAAAAATTTGTCCGCTAAACCTAGCGGAAAAATTTCTCTGCGGGGTCATGTGACCTGGGGGTCACGTGACCCCCCCCCCCCCCCGCCGAGGTCACGTGACCCCCCTCCCCCTCAGTACCCTTCCCTACTCCTCCTCAAGAGCTGCGCTCTAATTCGGCGTTACAGAGTTGTAAACGGCCTTCACTTTTTTTTTTTCATACAACACTTCGCGAGCTCATTGGGTCGCTGGGATTGCGAGGCTACGCAGTGTCGCTCCGTGGTTATCGTTTCCCGTCAGTGTGATGACATAAAGGCGAAAGAACGCGCGATACGGATACCAAAATATCTAATGTAAACAAACGGTCACAAAGGCGATTGGGCTAGCTGCCTTGCGTTTTTCTTTTGAGTTTTGGTTTCAATTGTAAGTGCATCTAATTTTAGGCACCCATTTTGGCAAAAAAAATGTGAGCGTTATAATCGTGCAACCAAGTATGTAGGTCAGAAAAAACGCAAAATATGTATACAACACAGCGACAAACAATGCAAGTAGCTCATTACATGAGTTAATCTTGTCCTAATTGTCTTTTTATCAGTTCAATTTGCAGCTGTGCTCGGGTGGTTTCAAGTCTAATGAGTTCTCTTTGCTCCCTGAGCACTTCCTCCCCTATAGCATAGAAACTCCGTGCAGCATCTGCTGCAGCGAGGGTTGCGTTTGCAGCCTGTATGGCCCCATTTGTGTACTTTCTCTCAAGGAGTATATTCTCATGCTCCAGATCCTGCTGTCGCTCGGCCCTTCTCTGGTACTGCTGTGCAGCCTCACGGGTCCAGCGCTGGTTGTGCTGCACAACAGGAGAGGCCAGTGTTCTCTGTGCTGCGTCGTCTTCAACTGTACTGCTGCCAGATGACGAGGGTGGCGGCGTCGTCACCCTTCCCGTGCAGCTGCTGTAGTGACACGCATGACCAGGAAATTGTTTGAGGTTAAAGGGATACTACAACAAAATTTCGGGTTTCATTTTTTGGTCTATATGTGTTCGAAGGAGCAGTATCACATCGAACACAACAATATCTTGTTAAAAAAGTCACGAAAAGGAATTTTAAAACGAATTAAGCGATTGGCAAAGAGCACCAGGTGGATGTCGCTAACGCCTCGTTTGTAATGCCAGTCTCAGAACCTTGACAGCTAGTGACGGTAACTGTCTCGCCTCCGGCTACCACAATAGAAGAGGGGAAGGAGGAACTCTCCTCTTCCAAAGAATCCTTTCTGTATGTCCCAGAAGTTGCTATTGTCCCCCTGCAAGATTATAAAAGATTAACCCTTCACTCAAAATTCGTACAAAAGCAGCCGCTTTGGTGGCTGGAACGACTAGGCCATCCTCTCGACGTCAGCCTCGTCGCAGCTTTGCTCGTCCCGAGACGAACTACGTCACGATTGCGTTGGGTGTCACATGCTCTCCGCTGGCTGTTCTCCGAGCGCTTGTCAGGGTGGGCCGTTTGTAACGAAAACTATAGCCACCAGGTTCAAAATACAAACGTGCGATTGTCATTTAGGGATACAGTGGATCATATTCAACCTATTTTTGAACACGACGGGTATATTTTTAATTTCGTTGAGGTATCCCTTTAACGCATAAGCCTTTACAACGATTATCAGCAAACTTAAAAACCCAGGTCACTGACTGGCTGTGGATGGCAGCCCGAGGTACAATATTGTCCTGCATAAAGTTAATGCTCGGGACGTGTTCCGAGCATGCGCAGTGAGAAAAATGGCAGCTCACAGAGGGCTATTGTTGGGCAGGAGTGAACTTGTAAATTTCAGCATAACTTAGCAAACTGCAAGGGCTACAGCTCCAGAGAGCTGCTCAGAGCATTGAAGCAAAGGATTGTGACTAGACACCATACTCGTGCACGTACGTCCTCCGTGACATGATTCTCTCCGTCCTCTATCTCTCCAAGTGATGCATGAGGGCTGCAGTGCATGACATTTTTGACGTCACCCTGGATCAGGGTACATATATGTGTGGGAGAACTGAGTGCAACGTGCGGCAACCTTAATCCAGATGTGACAGTAACACTTGTCATAATTTTACCACATATGTTGGTGGTACAACAGACTGGAGTGCCTAACCCCGCAACTTTGTTTCATTGGCGGTTGGTAGAGTCGCCACATAGACATTTGTACAAGATTTAAAACAAGTAGATGTGGCACACTCACACCAGCCGTCATATGTGATTATTGTGTACCCAAGCACTGTCCGGCTAACTGGGACATTGATACTTTTTCAGATTTTGTTGGCACAGATCAGCATCGAATAAGTCATTGGTGCATTCTCAACTTAATCTCATAAGCGTTACCAAAAAAGAATGGATTTTTGCTACGTTAGCAGGCATGTACGAAGATCATGCAAAAACATTTCCACTGACAGTGGAAAAATTTGGGTATTGAGTGACCTGACTTTGAAGAAAATAGGTGATCTCAACTTGAGAGAAAGACTACCATAGCTTTGTTGATTATGATGTAAATATTTCTTTGTAATTTTGTGGTACAAATAGTTTCAAACTGTGAGTTTTACTGCATTTACCCTAATAAATGGTTTCATTGGCACTTTTTCAGCAGTGCAGAAATGGCTAAATATGTGAAGGTGGTGTCCTTGTGCTGTGTTCTGTTCTCTACTGGACAGGTTTTGACTCGTGCTCCTAATATTGTCGTTTTGCTTCATGAAGTTGGTCTCTATGTAAGGGCACGCAGCAGTAGTGTTATGCAACTGACATGTCTACTTTGAGATGGAAAACCAATATATTCTTTTATGACAATCCAAACTGTTCCCTATGCTCATCAATGTTTTCTAGGAGCATGCCAACAATTGGTGACTTTTGATATGCCTTGTGTCTGTGCTCAGTTTCATACCTATCATCAGTGACAGCAGAACATCCCTATCATCAGTTTCATAACTATCATCTTGTGGAAGTACTCATAATGTGACGAGCAGAACAGAAAAAGAATGCACCTTCAGCGCGTGCTCATTCTCTTCTGCTGCTTGTGCATCCTTGTGCTGTCAGGGCTAGTAAGCTGTAACTGGGTGCAGAGCTTCCACTGTACTATCGCCTCCATTGTCACAGTCTACATACAGTGTGCAACGATATCAAACTTGTAGGCATAAGGGTGGGCCATTCAATTAGCACAAGTAAGGTGATTGACGAAGCCACGTGCTCATACCTACAACTTTAGTATTGTAATGTATAAAGTATCAACAGGAGCATAGCATACACAGCATGGCCTATAAAGTGTTACCTACTTTTCGGTGTCACCGATGATGACGTCAATCCCACAGATCGTCGGGGAATCGTCCCCGATCACATTTAAAACAGTCTCGACAAGTGGTGTCAGCTGATGGGGGTTGGGACCAGCACCTATGAATTGAAGTACACTTATTTTGTTTTCTAGGATGTAAGCACAATTAAAGGTGGGGGAGGGGAGACAGGGTGTTCATTATTCAACATAGTATCAATGTGCGAATGAACAGAAAACGCGTAAACAAGTAATTGCCAATAATGATAAGATTGTTTTCTTACCTTCGTTTTTTTTTTCACCCTCAGGTTCCTATTATCCGGTCTCGGGTAATATGTGATGTTGGACAATTTATTTCTTTTTTTTTTTGTTTGACAGCAAACTCACTGTTGCCAGCTACCGGCTAGCCTGGCCCACTCTGTGCCTGAATCGGTTGCGTCGGAAGTGTTTGAAACGTGGAGGGGCGACGGGGCCTCTGAGCTTAACCCCGCCCCCTTTTGCAGCATTGTTTACCGCAGCTGTCTGAAATTTCAAGGGGGGGGGGGAAGGGGAAGGGGGTCTGAAGCCCCCCTGCCCTTGTTCCCACGCTACTTGCCTACATACATTTTTCTTCTGTGTTTAGTTGAACAATAGTGTCTACATTGTTTACAGTGCTAAAGACAATGTTTTTGGCAAGCAAAATTTGGACATTAATTTTGAGAAATTACGCAGGCCCACTGCATGGAACAGGATCCAAGGTGCTTTGGGGCTATTTCTGTGTTAGTGCCACTGTGTTGAAACTTGTGCGAGTAAGAGCTAATTAATCTTTGGGCTTGCCCTCTCATGATATTGAGCGAGATGTTAGTTGTCGCGCATTGAATGGGGTCTTCGGTTGAGATATTTGCCCCAAAAATTTGAGGGGCTAATATATCACTCTCTAATAAATTTGTACAGTGCACCCAAAGTTTCCAATAAAGATTTTACAAATATCGCCCTTTTTTCTGTTTTTGTAGCGCAAATATTGGAACTTACCTGTCCGTTGGTCATGTTCTTTGTACAATCTGTACAAAGTTCGGCACTTTTTAAGTAATTTTCTCCATGCTTCTTGAAGCTGTTTCACTGAACGCGGAACTTGGTGGCGGCGGGTCATGGAATTGGCGACTTGGTCCCAGGCGCGTCTTTTGGTTTTAGTAGTCACGGTAGGGCCGAATTTTCCCAGGATTTGGTATTTTCGAGCCTCAACTTCCCGGACTAATTCCAATTTTTCATCTAGGGTCCAATTCTTTTGACGCAGCGGCGCGGTCCCCTTTGAGGTAGTCGCTCGGTTCATTTTCGTTTGCAGAAGGAGCATGATCGTCTGCTACCTTGGTTTGTTTATCTACACAATTGCAACATTATTCCTGCTAACCGTAAAATATTTTTTCAGAAGCAACGCGAAATAACAAACAAGTGCATTTCCAACAACTTCAGTATTGTTTATTTCTCGGTTCTACAACTTTCGCAGACGGCACAACGGAGTTGATTCGGAAAAACTGCATGTACCGGCTTTCTTGGAGGGCGAGTGAATTGAACGATCGGCAGGTCACTGGTCTTTTATGGACAACGTAGCATTTCACTAAACCCAGAGAAAGTTCTGCTACTCATCACTGCTAAAATCCATTGGACCGTTGAGCCTCTGTCCGCCGTTTATCTGCAGAACGGTTGATGCTGCAGCTGCAGTCGCACTGTAAGCAGAATACGAGGATTTTGTACAAAATGGACACCCTGAACAGAAATTTTCCCGGCGTGACTACTTTCAATAAACCGCAATCGCTACTCAAAAGGCAACTCTCCGTAATGCTTCCTTTCAATAAAGGTATTCTGATCCTGCTCCTGCTTGAAGTTAGTTTCACAGCGCTCAACATAACGTGAGTATGAGGCTGGCCTCATCACAACCCTATCGCGAAATGTTTTGGTGCTCACCGTAAAACGCTTGTCGTACTCGGCTATCGTGTTCCTTGGAACGCATCCCACATTTCAGCGCTGCGATGCATGATTCTTGCCGTGCTTCAATGAAGCCGATGCGAAGCTTCGACAGTCGGCGACTCCGGGCCACTGTACTTCTACAAATCGGTGACTCTGAGCCACTGTTTGTCGACGGGCTGCTGCCGTCGACTTCAGTCGCAGTCCCCTCGAAATGTCAGTTTCTTTAAGGCGCACGTAGGATACTTGTACACTCTTAACTTAGAACACGGAACCTAAATCATCGCTCTGAAGACAAACACCAATGCGATCGCGACCGCGGAAACTGCGTACGCCGCAGCCATTTTGTCGAACGACGCGACGGGGCAATGCGTAGCTCCCCGTATCCCTACCGAGCCAGTCACGTGACTAAAAAATCCCTCTCCTAGGTACTGCGGCTAACTTTAGCCGCGGTTAGCTGTTCGAGCAAACGGGCCCTGGTCGCACAGGCTGCCGCCAGGCCAGCATTCTCGAAAGAAACAGATTGTACAGTCACTTGCTGAGGATGACTTTGGTTGTGAAATTACATAAATTACTGTACTGTAAAAAATTAAACACACAATGGTGCAAATGCTCCTCCATATTGGGAGTCCATGTGGGATCCATGAAACGTTCTCCAGACACAACTAAATACATGCTAAAAAAAGTCTCACCTTTCCATTGAGCTGCTGCGTCGCCGCAACATGATGAGAGTAAGGCGGACACCATCATAATTTTAGGACCAAATACCACACTCAATCACCAGCTATAGGTTTCTATCGACAAAGCAGTACGTGCACAGCAAACGTTTTATGTGGAAAACGAGAAAGCCGCCGAACAATCCAATCAGTGGTGTCGTCAGAGAAACATCTGCCACCGCGCGACAGAGTCCAATTCATATTCTTTCCTTCGTCTGTTCGATGTGGGAAAAGGGCAAGCTTTCAACATGGAGTCAGGCACGCAAAAAGCCCTTTATTTACTTCTTCCTCTTCCCTCGTGTCGGCCCAACCGATACGAGAGGTGAATTACCTCACACATCTCCCCTACTAAGTCTCACACCAACAACCAATCACACATCTCCCCTCCTAAGGCTCACAACAAACACTCACACCTTTCTCCCTCTAAGTCACACCTGCATAGTTCATTGTTCTTGATACCTCTTTGGTGCTCGAACACATCTTCCACTCTTTGTGTGAGCGTGGCCGCCATCGGCGCAATGAGGCCCAGCCTCTGGTGAATCAGCACCGTATTCTTGCACATTCTCGGGTACCTGTAGTTCTGATCCAGAAACCTGACTGGGTAAGGGAATCAGGTGTGTTCTGTTTCTGCGGATAGAGTCTCCGGCGTCAGTGTCGATCCAGTATGATCTGGGTTCATTTGCACTGCTTTGGACGACTCCTTGTCGTTTCAGGTCTACTACCCACACGTCAGTTCCCTCGTCCAAGTCGACTAAGTCTCGGACGGCATGCCGGCGGTCGAAGTCTTCTTTTTGTTTTCGCCGCTGAGACATTTCAAATTTTCTTACGTTGTTGAGATCTGGAAGGCAGGGAACGAGGCGGCTAGACGAGACTGGGAGATTTGTTCGTAACCTCCTGCCCATCAGAAACTCTGCCGGACTGTATCCATTTTTCAATGGACTCGTTCTATAAGCGAGTAGGGCCTTGTACGGGTCTTGTGTTTTCTTCAGAGACGACTTTATTATTTTGACCGCGGCTTCTGCCATTCCATTGCTTTGTGGGTACCTATGACTGGAAGTGATGTGGTGAAAACCATAATCCTTTGCGAATTCATCAAATTCGCGATTAGCGAACTGGGGTCTGTTGTCGGATACCACCACGTCCGGTATCCCATGCCTCGCAAAAATAGACTTGCAATGGGTGATCACAGTTCCCGATGAGAGACCACCAAGGCGGACCAGTTCTGGGTACCGTGAAAAATAGTCATTTATGATTAGCCACCAGGCTCCGTCCCAGAAGAACACATCCATCGCTATTCTTTCCCAGGGACGCTGTGGGAATTCTGTTTGCAGAAGAGGCATTTTACGGTTGACACTCTGTTTGAGGCATACGTGACAGTTTTTGATGAGCCGCTCAATATCAGAGTCAATTCCAGGCCACCAAACAGAATCCCTTGCTCGTCCTTTGCATTTGTCTATGCCGAAATGACCTTCATGAAGTTGGCGAAGGACGGTGTCGCGCATTTTCTCTGGGATTATCACTCTAGAGGTACGAACTATTACGACGTCAACGAGTGAGATGTTGTCTTTATCTTCCCAATACGGTTTGAGCTCCTGCTCGAGATCTCTTCTTCTTGGCCACCCTGTTAGAATGAGTTGACGAAGCCGCGCGCATACTCCGTCTTTCTGTTGTTCACTGGCGACCTGCTGAACACTGTATGATGTCAGCGGCATAGAGGAGACGATGTGTTTGATGTAGCCATCGATCTCATTTTCGAGGTCGAAAGGCTCCGATTGTGAAATAGGAGACCTTGACAGAGCGTCGGCTGCCGTTAGATCCTTGCCGGGGACATAGACGATGGCATACGTGAAACGCATGAGTCGCATGAGCATTCTTTGTAACCTTGGTGTCAAGTCATCGAGTGCTTTGGACCCAAAACGTGAGATGAGAGGCTTGTGATCAGTTTCGAGAGTGAAGACTCTTCCTACGAGGTAGTCTCGAAACTTTTCACTGGCCCACACGAGTGATAAGCCTTTTTTTTTCTATTTGTGCATATCGACGTTCGGTCTCTGTCATAAGCCTTGACGCGTAGGCAATTACCTTGACCCGTTGTCCCTCCTTCTGGCGCAAGACAGCACCTAGTCCGTATGCTGATGCGTCTGCACTTACAAGGGTTTCTTTCATGGGATCGTAGATACCCAAAACTGGGTCTGA